CAGCGCCTGAGGGCAGCGGCGACGACCGAGCCCGGAGCGTGGACTTGAAGAAGCCAGGAGGGAGATACCGCCGCGAGCGTTGGAGCCGCCTCCCCTCTCCTTCGCCATCCCCCTGTCTTGGTAAAGGCCCCAAAGCCCCCATGGATCCCATCCCTTCCTGGTTCTTCTGGAGAACGCGGTTCCGTACTCGATGAATGAACAGAATCGCAACCTAAAGAAATCAGCATCGCCCGGCTCCCTGCCACGATTCCGGGCTGGCATTTGGCTTGGCGCGCGGGCCTATGAGAGAGGGACAGTTTGCTGAGGTCTTTGGGAAAGTTATTTCCTCTTCTGAGAACTGCAGTGCCCACCCCTGCTGTGTGCTTGAGCCCTCAGCCCAGAGCAGCCACTTTACACACACACACAGGGTCTGGCCAGGAAGAGGAAAGCAGTCATCAAGAAGGCCTCTCCAGAGCTGATCTTTGGTGGTGTTTTTGAGTCTTAAGTCAAACAGTTCTGAATCCAGGTTACCTTCATAATTGAAGCCAGCAGTTTTTTTATTTTCTATTCTTTATAATCTTAGAATGTCCTAAACCTAGAGACCCAGTCACCTAACCTCAAGCAAAGACGTAGACTTCAAGTAGGAAGTCTGCTTAGGTAACTTGTAAAGTCTAATTCTCATAAGAGCCCATGGCTCATTGATAAAACTAGAGACAAATCTTGAGAAAGGAAAAGACTTATCTGCGGGATTTATACTGTTTTCAAGAGAAAAGGAGATCCACTTTCTTATACAGATGATTCAGAGGAAGAAGCCCTCAGTCATGGAGTTTCCCTCTCCTTTAAGGGACTGACTGGTGATGTTTTTCATATGTATTATGGCAGATATAATTGTATTTTATACTTTGTGAGACTAACATATCTGTCTATACCATGTACCTAACGATCCTAGAACTATGGTAAACAGGGAGCTGGGATTCAACAAATTGTTTGAAATTGGAATATAAAATTTATTTTTCATGCTGTAATGTAGGCTTTGTGTGTGCCATTTTAAATAAGGGAATATTATTCCGTGTATAAATTTCCTATAATACTCGTGAGATATATGGAGACAATATAAAAATTTTTTATATCACTTGGAAACTAATTTCTAGGCCTTTGCTGACTTTGCTAGATAGGCTAGAAGGCTTTATTAAAAATTATGAGAAACAACCAATTAATACACATTTGGTGTCAATAGTGTTTTTATAGTGTAAGTTCATATCAATAATTCAATGTTGGAAAATATCTAATGAACATTTGTTACGTGCAAGGCATGATGCTAAATGTTTTTGAACTAGAACATGTAAAACCTGCCCTGCCCTCAATAAAGCTATAATCTGATAGATTTTAGTTCTGTCTCTTAACAGAAATTCTGTGCACATGGCTTCAGTTTCTACTTATTAAGAACTTCCCGCTCTGTTCCAACATACGTTTACGCACACACACCCCATTATCATCATGATCAGGGATATGAGTTGTTGAGAGAAACATTTAGACTCAGAAGGAAAAACTAGGCACAACAATGCTCTTTTTGCTTGCTTAGATTGACTTGACCTTGGCCCCTACTTCAAAGACAGGTATTCTAGAAAGCTTGGAGTAGAAAGAGGAAGAAAGAAAAGAGCTAATCAAGTTAGGCAGTGAAGGGTGACCAGTCTCCTAGTGTTATCCTGGTAGCTCCAGCACTGATGGCTCATGGACTCTAGTATCTGTCCCATAGGAGAGCAGCTGGACCCTTAGGACTAAAGGGAACAGTTGTAAGTAACAGTGAATTTAATAAATTATACCTTCATCTCAGGGCACTTCCATCACTCATGAACTAAAAGCCAAGATTTTCCACTTAATCATAAGCCAGACCCTACTAATCATTAGCAGTGTACTCCCTCCCCTGTTCTCTTCTATCCCTAGAACGAGTCTCCCAACTTTGTGGGATTTCCTGGTAAAGATTTTGTCTTCTTTTTCTCTAAATGCTATTAAGTAAAGTTGTTCTCTATTCTTTGCTATTATTTTAATCCCTTGTTCATATGAATGTTACATTCAGACTTGAGTTAACCCCTAAAAGTCCATCTTACACTCAATGCTTTTTGCACCTTTAGAATTGCTTCTCTCATATTTCATCAAAATATACATCTGAACAAAATTCAGGACAAATTCATGGGCCAGGGATTTATCTCAGGGATGCTGCACCTGCCTGGAAAGCACAAGATCCTGAATTCAATTCCAGTTCTGGGGGGAAAAAAAGAGAAGGAAAAAAAATTTTTTTTTGTACCATGGATTGAACTCAGGACTTTGCTCTTGTAAAGCAGCCAATGAAACCGCTGAGCTAAATCCTCAGCAGAGAAGGAAAAATCTTTAGCTGGGTGTGGTGGCACACACCTGTAATCCTGTCACTCCAGAGGCTGAGGCAGGAGGATCACCTAGAGTTCAAGGCCCTTCTGAACTACACAGTGAGACCCTGTCTCAAATAAACAAAACAACACCAAAAGACAAATTCAGAGGTCTAGAAGGGGGGAAAAAAGCTTTCAAACACTCACTAAAATATACTCAGAGAGCCATAGATTTCCATTTTTAAAAGTTCACTATAAGCTAGCACCATGGTGTACACCTTGTAATCTCTACTAAGGACGCTGAGGCAAGAGGATTGCAAATTAAGAAACCAACCTGGGAAATTTAGCAAGATGCTGTTTCAAAAAGAGCTGGGGATATAATTCAGTGGTAAAGCACCCCTGGGTTTGATCCTCAGTACCACAAAAAGCAAGCAAGCCAAAGAAGAGAAAAAGGAAGGGAGAGAAGAAAAGGAAGAAAGGAAACGTATAGTTGAATGATTGAGCAACTAAAATGAATAAAATTTCCTATGTGTATTTTGGCATAGTGCTCAATAAACATTTGTTGGAAAAGATTTTTTTATTTTTTAATGGAAATTTTATTGCAAAAAAATAGAATAGTCCTGAAAATATCTATGCATTTAATTACTTTTAATAATTATGGATTTTCCATTTATCTTTCCTCTACTTTCCTATCTGCATATTAAGTTAAACACAATACATTACATAATTTCATAAGATGATGTTTTAAAAAATTTTAGAAGCATGAAATACAAGAGAGGAGACAAGGCCAACTAAATTTGGAAAGACTAGAAACAGATGGGTACATGATAAAAGACTTACAAGACTAATAAAACTACTCTGCTGGGTGCAGAGGCGCAAGCCTGTAATCCCAGCTACTTGGAAAGATGAAGCAAGAAGTTCAAGTTCAAGACCCTGTCTGAAAAACAAAAAAGGCAGAGGATGTAGCTCAATGTTGCCTGGGTTCAATCCCCAGTACTGCAAAAAAACAGACCAACTTGACACCAAAGGCAGCAATGAGGGAAATTAGTGACCAAAGCCCTATGTTCTGTATGATCACCAAAAGACTCACAACTAGCCAACTCTAGGTGTCTCTTGAAGGTGAGGAAAGGAGGAGCTAACCTAAGGATATGATTATGGTACGTCTGTATAAGAAGCAACTAGGAAGCCGGTGATGGTGACACAGGTCTAATTCCAGCACTCAGGAGGCCAAGACAAGAGATCACTGCAAGTTCAAAGTCAGCCTGGGCTGCATATTTCACGGCCAACCATGCACAAGGCCCTATTCAAGTTCAGCACCACAATAACAAAGAGAGCCAGATCTCCAGATCACTTTCTTTACTACATGCAATCAAGCAAATATCTCTCTTCTACCGAAGTAAAATATTAAAACTGTATTCTCTGCAAAAGTGAAGCAGAAGGGTGAGGATATTGGGTTAATATTTCCCCATGTGATGCTGAGCTCCCACCAACAACATGGCTCCCAGAATATTGCACCCATGCTTTGCAAGTTCAGATTAGAAAAGCCTCCAAGGAAAATGATCAACTGCAAAGACCTGAAGATGCTGAATTGGGAGGTTCCCCAGCCCAAGCCCAAACAGATCACTGTAGAGACAAGTTCACAACTCACAAACCTCTACCTGTTCATCCAGTTTC